ATGGTGATGGGGTTTGTGTCTCACTTCCCTATCTATCCGTGTCACTGTGAATGTGTTTTTATCTCCAGAAAAACAATAATAGTCTTCAACCTGAGCCCTAGTAATGGTCAGTATGACTGTTACCCCTGAGCAGGAACCAGAGAATCGCTCAGCGATCTCTGAGCGCAGCTTTCTGTCATTATATACAATGAGCTTAGGAGTTTGGACTGTCTTCTGTTGGTACCAGTGTGCATAATAGCTTTCTAAGTCCTCTGCATGGCAGGTGATCCTGGCCATCTGTCCCAAAGCCGCAGACACTTCAGGCAGCTGAGTCAGCTCAGAGAAGGCCACAAAACCTGCAAGCAAGGACAGGAGAGAAGAGTCTGAAGATGAGAGTCTCATTCTCAGAGTGCCACACCCTGCATCACTGCCTGTGATGAGCTAAAAGTCAGGGCCAGGCTGTTCCCTGGTCCTGTGGGGGTTGAACCCTGGGAAGCAGCACCTGTGCAGAGAGTGAGTAGGGTGAGCAGGAAAGGGGGTCCAGGCCATGGTGGAGATGCCTCAGAGTTCTGCCTCTGAGCGCACACCTGAGAAGGGAGTCTCTAGGTCTCTCATATCATAAGAAGGGGTGACTCATCATACAAACCTACTTCCTTATCTTATTGTCTAGTTAGGTGTCTCTCCACTTAGGGATGGATGCAAATCTCTTCTCCATTTCCCAGTGTGTCTTTCTGAGCTTCTGTGTGGGCCCTGAGCCTAAGGGTTTGGTGTGGCAATTTCCCAAGTTCAGAAGATGGGGCATATGGCTGTCATGAGTAGAGAGTGGACTTTACCCAATAGAATGGGCACCAAAGAAGCATCATTCATGCCTGTTGTACTTAAACACCAGCCGGGGACTTCGAATCAGTAGGGCCCCCAAACCAAGGCTCACAGTAACCCCTGCTCCTCCAAGAAAAATGCCATCCTCCATGTTTGAGTAGTTTATGCAGCTTGAGCACTTATGAGCCCTCAATATATACCACATGCATTGGTGAGTATTTTAGAAGTGTGACCTCAAGAAGACTTTTATAATATGAATTATAAAATAGGAATATAGGAAGACTAGGAGTCCTAGGCTCACAGCCCGATCTTTACCAGGGAATCAATATGGAAAGGCCAATTATTTCCCCAAGTCCCCCAGACAGTAGTGACTGGAGTCCCAATTTCACCCAGGAGACGCACCTCAGAGCCCGACCTTCCAGTCCCTCCCTGCCCTGCATCCTGCACCCTGCTCCATCTCCTCCTCCCCCTCATACTTGACCTCCAAGGTCTCTCTCGTTTTCATTTGCTAGAACTGCTATAGCAAGGTACCAAAGAACTAGTGGCCCAACCAGCAGAAACTCATTTTCTCACAGTTTGAAAGCTGGAAACTCCAAAATAAAGGTGTTTATAGGTTTGGTTTCCTCTGAGGCCTCTCTCCTTGGCTTGCAGGTGGCTGCCTCCTTGCTGTGTCCTCACACAGTCTTTCCTCTGCACATTCATCTCTGATGTCTCATTTCTGAGTACATAAAATGTCTTTTCCCAGGAAGACATCAGGCAGATTGGATAAAGACCTAGTGTAATGACCTCATTTTACTTGATCATCTCTTTAAAGATGTGTGCAATTTCAGTCACATAACTGCATTAGATCTTTATTGTCTGAATTTTGAGGGGACATAATTCAGCCAATAGTGCTGCACCCTATGGGCTCCAGAACTTGTCTCTCTCACTTGTGAAATATAGTCATCCAAGAGCTGAAATTCAAAATACGTTCATCCAACAGCTCAAATCCTTAAAGAACTCTGCATCAACTCTTTTAAGACCCAGATCTCATTTGTGTATGATGCAAATCATGTGTGGGTGAGACGCCAGGTGCTATTCATCCTGAGGGTTTAAGGACAGCAGCTTTGGGGAGTTTCACCTCCTCTCTCCTGTTATCATCTGAGTGTTCAGAAAAGTAAACCTCCACTTCATTTGCTAAGACAGAAGGAGATGAGTGAGTCAGCATCAGCAATATTCGTGAATTAGATGTGGGGGAAATCTCAACTGTGCATTCTTGTAATAATTTAAAGTAATGATTGAAATGCCCACAAAATCACATTTAATAATCAGTAGCCATGGGATATCTCTGGTAGTGTTTGGAAGAAAATTAACACAGGAAAAAACCAAAAAGTATCAAATGTTGAATTTTTTTTCAGGATGGAATATGTCTGACTTGACTTAAGATAAATCGAAACAAAAATGGTATAGTCCAAAGAAAATCACTGTGTTGTATGCATTAAACTTTGAAGTCTAATTTTAGTATTGAGCATCAACATTTTGATGTGCTAATAAGGAAACCTCTCAATGTTATTTATTAATACAAAGTGCAATTGTTTCCTAGTTAATGTTAACAGTTTTTTCATGGGGTGAACGTATTCTTGAGAGTTGGAAAGAAGGATGTTCTGTAAGATGTTTCCTTATACCTAAGAAAATATAATTTCTGCTTTTGCAGAAGATGATAATTTGCAGCATTAACATATTTCTATTATCAAAGTCCTGTTCTTTTCCTAGCAACTTGTTTTGGGCCTTTAAAGCTTAAAGTATCAAGCTCTCTTCTTTATTCCATTGTTACATTCTGGGGTTTACAGTCCTCATGCTTTATATAAATGTTCAATACATTTAAAACATACACTTCGTTATTCATTTATTTGTAATCACAAGAACTACAACAATCTTGTATGTTTATGGTTTCATCTACAGTGTTGATTTTAAGACTTTTTTCTATGAGCCTGCACTGGACTATTCCTGACTTGTTGCAAGCTTCATTGCCCCTTTGACCCTCCTCGTCCCGCTAATTTTCAACCTAGGGGGAGTCTATTCTTGATACATTAAAGCTCTTCTCCATGACTTAGAAAAATGGATCAAGATAAACGTTATGAGACTGTGGCACAGGACTGTTCTGGGAAGACCAAAGATTCAGTCAAATGAGTAATATAAGTATGTTCTTATCCAAAGAAAGACCTCAGGGCACTATAGGAGGTGAAATACAGTGACCCTCACAAAGAGATCTCCACCTAGAACCTACGCTGGTGGAATTTTCAAACTTGCAATAACCCTACAAACCAGAGACTATTAAAGCACATCTTGTGGGCCACCCTAGCCCCTGTTTTTGTGTGGTCCCAGAGCTGAGAGGGGTTTTCATAGTTTTAAATGGTTACACAGTAAATGGTGCTATAAGGACCAACATAATATTCTCAAAATTGACTTCTGTGTAGCAAAGGCTAAAATAGGTCTTATTTGGACATTTAAGAAAAAGTTTACCAAATCTTAAAAAATAGTGAACACTGAAATATTTAAGTAAATGCGGAACTTCAGGCAGAATAGGAGAAATCAAACATCAAACTGAAACAAGGTAACCTTTTAAAATCTGATAGGTTGGGAACAATGTAAACTTTCATCAGTGTACTCTGATTAAATATTTGTGGCTAGCATTGTAAACTAGTAGAGACTGTCTGGAGGGGAATCTGAGAACAACAGGTAAAAATTATAAACACACATCCTTTTAACCCAGAAATTCCACTTCCAGAAATTTATCCTATGGTCGTATTCACACAAGAACCCAAATGAGCCTGCATAGGGCTATTCACTGCAATGTTATTTGTGAAATCAAATTCATGTTGATTACCATTAAAGGCTCCAAGGCTCAAATTCTACCATGGAATACTCTGCAGCCTTAGAATGGACAGGGCAGTACTCTATGCCTAGGATGTCACAGTATAAAGAATGAGAAATGGTGCATGCGTAGAATGGTCTTTGATATGGAGGACCAGGGCAGGGACCTTCACTTCACTCTCTCCTTTTACCCTGAGCTGATCTGCATCTGCCAAACAGAACAGGTCTACATCTGGCAGCCTTCCTCAGGTTGGGCCTGGCCATCTGCTCTGGCCTCTGAATGCAGCCCAGCCTCACAGCCTCACAGCCTCACAGCTTGGCTGCAACTTCATGATCAGCTGGGAGCCAAAACCACCAAACCAAGCTGTGCCCAATTCTAGATGGACTGAAGTCACAAGATCACAGACGTGTTCTTTTAATATGCTAAGTTTCACAAGTAATTTTTATGCATCAACAGACAATAAATACAATATGGTTTTTGAAATAAATTTTAATGTGTTTATTTCAGGTAGACAACATGATGTTTTGGGATGCACATATAGTAAAATAGTTTGTTTTTAATATAATGTGTTTAATTGAAGTTTAAGAAGCCTAAGCTATATATAATAATAGCTATATTTATTAAATATAAATTTTGAACCCAGCTCTTATCTAGTTCCTAAGTTAATTATCACTATTAGTAGATTAATAGGGATTTGAACTACAAAAGTATTGACATCCATGGAAACTAGAAATGCTTGATGTAAATGAGGAAGGGGGATGGATTCGGGTTAACCCTTCCCTGTGTAACCATTTTGGAAACTCTCATTCTACGGGTGGAGGTGGGGCTTCCTGCAACATGTCACTCCATAATCCCTGTTACCTGAAGGGGCTTGTGGGACATTGCCAAGACAGGGGCTTATTGATGTGAGGGGAAGAGGATTCTGAGAGAACACTGATTCTATCACTCAAAATCTTCCCAGCTCAGCAACCTGGGGTATTGGAGCAAAGTGAAAGGGCAGTAAAAACAAACAAAAAAGTGGATTCCTCTTTCTTCTTAATCCCTCAGAAACATCTTCAGATCTTCTCACAGTGCTCACTTCTTGGGGACAGAGGTGCAGGGGATTAACCCAGCCAGGAGGGCCATCTTCACCAGAGTGTGGTGGATACAAAGTCGAGTAAGATGTGGTTTCTGGAAACTACCCCTAATAATGTCTGTCCAGATTGGTCTGCACACAGTGGGAGATTCCAGTACATTTAGGATGAGGATGTTCCTGAAGACAGCAGGGACTGCACCAGTCAGGCAACTCATTGTCACTCTCCCTGAAATTAAAAAGCTAGGAATAGTCGCACGTTCAGGGACAGCAACACTAAAGCAAAAGGAAGCTGTCCCTGTCCTGGATGAGAAACCACAGAGCAGGTTTCCTTTTGGATTTCATGGTGGGAAAGGAGAGGAGCTGAGAGAGAAGAATTCTCAAGGACGTGTTGCAGGAAGCCCCTTGCACAGGGTGAGGAAGCATCTTCAGAGAAAGGAGGAAGTCTGAGAGCCCAGGGCAGGTTTTGGTCTCAGTTCTCTGTGAACTTGGACCGCTGTGGAAAGTGTCGCTGGTCTCATATGAGCTACAGTAATAATCAGCCTCATCCTCAGCCTGGAGTCCAGAGATGGTCAGGGAGGCCGTGTTGCCAGACTTGGAGCCAGAGAAGCGATCAGAGACCCCTGAGGGCCGCGTATTGACATTGTACATCGTGAGTTTGGTGGTCGTGCCTGGCTGCTGTCGGTACCAGGAGACATAGTTATAACGCCCAATGTCACTGCTGGTTCCAGTGCAGGAGATGGTGACCGACTGTCCAAGAGACCCGGACACAGAGGGAGACTGAATTGGGGCAGACTGAGCCCAGGACCCTGGAAAAGGAGAAACACACTCTGGTGAGTCAGTGCTGGGCCCAGGTGAGCCTGAGGAGCAGGAGACCGAGGATCAGAGGTCTGCCCCTTCCCTGGAGGTGTCACCTGTGCCCTGAGTGAGGAGGGTGAGGAGGAACAGAGCCCAGGCCATGGTGGAGACGTCCAGAGAGCGCTGCCAAGACCCCAGCACTGGGCCTGGCCCCAGCCCTGTCTTACCCCCACTGCCTCAGAGGAGGGCGGGGCCTCCATGCAAATCTATGTCCTGAGCTCCTGTCCTCGCCCCACCCTCACCTGGGCCTGGGCTCAGAGATTTCTGCTTCCCTGGACAGCAGGGCTCATCTCGGGGGATTGAAACTCCTTGACTTGGATTTCCTGAGACTGAGCCCATGACAGTCCCTGGGAAATGGAGCCAGCCTTGGGGTCCTTGTCCTTCCTGTGCTGCGGTTCATGGTGGTCCAGGATGGCTGTGGGGTCCCAGGATTTCCCTTCCCTTCTTTGTGGGGCCAGTGTGAGGGCAGGGCCCAGAGTGGCTTGGAGACACCCCAGCGTTCCCCTTCTCAGGGACCCCTCAGTCCCCCTCAGCCCTTCTAGGGCTCCTCAGGTCGGCTAGTTCCTCACACCTTGCTCTGCCCTCTGTGTCTGCAGGGGCCTGAAGCTGCTGTTTGGATAAACCTGGGGTTCATTTATTGGCCCTTCTAGAAATGCATTTATTTTTTATTATTGGCCCTTCTAGAAATGCACGACAGATTTAGGACCCCAGACTGCTTCTGTCTCTTTACGGGGACTTAGGAAGAAGGACCTCCTAGGAGTCACCCCATGTGAAGCCCAGCAGGGACCTCCCAGGTCCAGGCCCGCGCTGTCCCCTGGTGGCCTCAGAAGGAGGAGCCCGAGGCCCAGGATCCTTCCCTGAGTCACAGCTGACAGCCCCTGCTCTGCCCTTTCTGCCTTTTGGTTCCCTTCCCAGTTCAATTCTAGGCCCCTGGTCCCTTCTCATCCCCTCCACGCTCCCTCCCACACCAGGGCTCCAGATGCTCCTCTTGGTTCCTGTTTGCTTTTCCCAGAGGAGCGTCCCACAGGGTTGGTGTCCATGAGGCAGCTCTGGCTTAGGGCTGAGGAAACCTCACACATGAAATAAACCCACCCCCAGCAGGCGGGTGGGACAGGAACATGGGATGAGGAGAAAACCACTGGCTCCTCAAAATGTTGACAGAAAAAGTGTGACATGGAGAAGGCAGTGCTCACAACAGCTGTGACCAGCCTCATGGGAAGCAGGTTAGGGAGGTGTCCCAGGGCCAGAGGAACTGAGGAAAGGTGCCCGGGGTTAGAATTGGGTGAGGGTTAGCACCAGGGACCCCTTCTGAGGGCGTGTGCGTCGCTCACAGTGTGACCCAGGACTTTCCTTAGTCCTGCCTTTTAGTTCACAATGAGTCTGCCTCAGCCCAGAGCCGGGCGCCTCCCTGAGGTGAAGCCTCCTGACACAAGAGAGTGGCTGACCCCATGTGTTCTTCAGAAACTCCTGGGTTTGGGGTAAAGACACTAATCACAGTGACTTCTCTCTGTCAGAATAGAAATGTAAACGTCCCTTCAGGAGATGGACTGGGGGTTCTGTGGTGTGAGTGCTTGGAAGAGGTGGGGGGACTGTCTTGTGTCACTGTCCCTGTTAGAAGACATTTATAATGGCACAGGAGAAGGGAACCCTAGGCAAGGGTGAGAGGAGGGAAGAGTGGGCTCAGGGGCTCAGGTGAGAAAGTGTGTGGTGTGGGGAGGTGACAGCTTTGCCTTTGAGACTGCTGTTTCTGCATGTGTTGTTTAGATATTTATGTGCTATGTTGCTATATGAATAGTTGTAAGAAAATAATGTTTCCATTTGAGATAGAGCTAAAATGAAATTAGGTCAGTGACCTGCTGAAATATCAGTGATGTTGATTGTGGAGCCAGTAGGCTGGATCAGAGCCCTGAGAACACTCCAGGAGCCCAGGCACTTCCTGCAAAAAGAAAATCTCTGATCTTCGGGACACGCTACCTTGTCCTCTCTTCTATGTTCTGTTAGCACCAGAAGCAAACCAGAGCCCGGCCAACGCTGCCGAAGTCACCTACCTCGTTTAAACTCTCCTGAATATGTGCGTCCGCACAGGGGAACAGATACAGACGTCAGAAGCACTTTCTACATCTGTCCTCACTGCAGCCCAAGCAGAAATGGAAAGTGGCATGGTTCTCTTTTGAATCGTGTTTTTATCAAAGGTTTAGTTTTCCTTGAATTCAAAAATTTTATTTTTTAAAATATGAGGGCTTTCAGAGATGGGTTCACTGGTTCATGTTATGGGAAATGTCTCCAGAGGGACTGGTGGCTGTCCCCATCTGCACTATCAGGAGTCACTAATTTAGTATCAGGTGTGTTTGTAGAGCACAAGCTCTAATAGAGTATATGTGGAAGGCTGCATTCTGTAACTAGGAGAGAAAATGGGAAAGTCCTTCAATCCCCTTCACCTCTAATTCACATTGTCCAGATTGACAAGGTGCACACAGATGAGGAGGCCATGGGCCGCTGAAACTGAGGGCTGGAAACCCCACCTTTAGAGCCACAGCTTCCTTCATCTTCTGCTCCATCAGCAGGCTTTGTCCCCTTTTGCACATCAGGGGCTGGGCATCCTCAATACCATCTGTAGCCCCGTCTGAGACTCAGTGTCCAGCAGCTAGGAACCACCTTCCCATTGAGGGTCGAGTCTGCAGTGGACTCAGCAGCAGACAAGGCCCTGCCAAACACAGGATCAGAGTCAGCAGCACAGAGAGCCCGGCCTGTGGGCACAGTGTGCACAGCCCCGCTGCGCACCCAGCACAGTCCTACTATGTGGAAATGGTCCTGCTGCCAATAATGAGCATTGTTTTTTCTTGGGGAACTTTTTGCAAAACTTTCCTCAAGTCTCTCATGACAAGTGATTCTGGCTCACTTGTCATGCTGGCTCCAGATAGCTGAGAGCAAAATGTGAGCAGAGGAATCTTGAGGACTCTGCCTGGAAATAAATGAATAGCTACAACAGGCGTTCCTGCACAACTGGGGAAGTGTGAGCTTGGACTGGAGAGAAGATCATTGCTCATTATTGAGAGAGAGAGTTGGGGAGACTGGTCAAAAGAGCACAAGGGGATCAGTTGCTGCTATAGCAAGAGGGGAAATGGTGCTTACTACACTATTATTTTATTGGTATTCATTGAATAATTTCAAAATTAAACTAGGTTTACTTTTCTCCAAAGTATGCAGTGTTTTTATTATGGTAAAATGATCAATTTTTAAACCATTTCAGTCATGTGTAAATGCGCATTTGGCAACAGTACGTCCATTCAGAATGCTTTGCAGCCACCACCACTATCCATCCCCAGAGATTTTCCACCACTCCACACAAACACTCTGGGCCCGTTAGACAGTGACTTTAGAAAGTTTGGAGCTTGGGAACAAATTGAGGAGTGTGTGGTCTGGAGGAAGTTTCCTGTAAGGACCCAAGGGGTGCCTGCACCAATCTCCCCAGTTTCTTCAAAATCTCAGGACAGCGAGGAGACACTTCATCTAGGAAACTAGATGACACACAGCCCCTGTGCCTCCTCTGGCCTGCTTTGCCCCAAAGAGAAGAGAAGTTCCGGTAGGACTGCACCCTCTGAGACAGCGTTCTCCTCTCTTGGAGGACTTGTAGTTATAGCTGAGGCCCTTGTGTTCAGTTTACTGAAATGATTCCTACAGTTGTTGAATGGATCCTGGAAGATGGAAGTTGATTTCTACAGATGCAGTCAGCTGGTAGTTCCATTAGAAATTGCTGTGCCAGAAGAAGACCCTGATAGAACACAACATCATGCTTGGCTGCAGGTGCACAGCAGGCACCATCAATGCAGAAACTCATTCTATTCCTCTCAGAATAGGATCAGAAACCATGTAACTGAATGGAGTAGACAACAGTATAGGTTTATACTTGATTTTTTCAACTTCATTAACTCTCCCTTCTTTTTTGTGATATTGTCAGAGGGGCCTTGACCATCTGAACACCCAGGAGAACCTCCTAGGGCTCTATTCTGTATTTGGACCAGATGTGCATGTAGGGGCCCTGTCTATTGGAAGCTTTGGTGAGACCCATGCATTCCTGAGAGTGGGAAACAAACCGTAAGACCATTCATCCTGTGTAGTAGCTGAAATGTTTAGGATTAAGTTCTCTGGAGCAGCTTAGTATCTCTCACAAAATAAAGGGCACATTATTAGATCTTACAGTTCCCACCAGAAAGAAATAAACACAAAGCTATAAGGTCATTCTGGTGTCTAGAGGCAGCATATTTAACCCTTGGGGATGTGGCTCCAACTCATATACCAGGAGCCATGAACATCACCCACTGTTTTGGTGCCCAGAGCAGGGAGACTCTGCAGCAGATTCAGGCAAGGGGTATGGATGTCCTGCTGTTGGGACCAGAGAATCCAGCAGACTCTACCGTAGTCATGGAATTGGCGATAAGAACTGAAGAATTTGTGATAAGAACTGAAAACTCATGTTTACGGCATCTCTCATGGGAAAATCCCAACGTAGACCGATGGGATTTGGAACAATTCCCTGTGATCTGCGATAGAGAATTATTTTCATTTTGAAAACAACTCTCCCCATGTGCTCTTGTTCCCTGGTAGATACAGGACAGCATCAAACATTCAGTGACCAAGAAGCCAGAACTGCCAGATTCTCCCATCATGTGCTCAGGAAGGCCCAGCAATGATCCCTGGTGAGACAGATGTGACACACCTAGGAGGAAGCAGGAGCAGGGCCCCAGGGCTGAGTAACCTGTGAATGATCCACAGCCACGTTTGCATCTCTCTTGCTCTAGCACCGCTCTCTAGGTTTACACTTAGGTTCTGTGGGTAGCAGTCTCTCTGCTCAGTTGATGGAGCAAAAATTTCCAGAGTAGCCCAGGAATGAATTGGATCACCATGAAGTAGACACAGCTGCACTCTACGGGTCTACTAAGGGGTGGCATTAAGAGATGATGGAGAGGGGACATCTTTCCATGCGCCATGGCATGGTGCCTGGTCATTCATTTTGTGAGGAAAGGTGAGTGGCCGGATGCTAGGGTAGATACGGGCTCAGGGCAGTGGGAAATGACTTGGGCAGGTATTCCAGGGACTGCAAGAGAAAAATGTGGAAATGGGGGGAATGGGGTATGGGCGGAAGCCTGTGGGTGGTCTTTGGGCGTGGGCGCCACACGGAAGAAACTTTGAGTCATAGGTTAATAGCCCATGGAGTGTCTATGGTGGACACAGTGCCAAACACCCAAGTGGTCAGAAAGAAGAGATCAGGGGTTGTCAGTCAGTCTCTCTCGGGTGACATGTGCCCCATCGCATGGGTGCCCACTCGGTAGGCTCTGAGA